TTTTTTTATGTTCAGTAAAAGTTTCCTCTTATAAAATTCACATTTTTCATCTAGAAACGTTTATTTTGTTTGAGAAAAATAATTTATTAATAACTAAATTGTTATAAATAATTATTGGTATCTTTATGATGGATTATTGGTAGTTTTCTTAATGTTCTTCCACTAAGGTTATGACTTAATTTTGCTAAGTTTCATAATTTATCTTTTAATTCTTCATATTAAATTTGTAGAAGAATAAGTTTTTTTTTTTTCAATTGATTCATAAAAACAAACGCGACAAATATTGAAACGTTATTTTAATTCAAGATGGTCCAATAATAAATAAACTAAAATTCGAACGATTAATTGATGTTAAAAGTGCACAAACAACATATAACATATCTGATAATTCATTTAATGATAATGATTTAATTTCATCAATAAGAATTACAACTAATATCAATGAATGATAATACATATTCGTACTATATCATTGAAAAGTTATGATAAATTATGAGATGATTTAGAAAAAGCATTTTGAAAATAATGAACCAACATTTAATTCATTAAAATAAAATCAATTAAATAATTTTTTTCATTCTTATTCATACTGTTTGGACTAAACCTTTACATAATGTTGTTTTACCACAATCTAAAAAATTTTTTGAATAAGATAAATCTCAGAAGTTCATGGCTCGATTCAAAAAAAAAATTTTTAAGGAGATTTTCAATATAAGAATTTTTCTAAATTTCACTTAAAATAAATGTTTTTCCAATAATAACACTCTGACAATAAGTGCGAGTCGGAACATAACAAAACATATCCTAATTTCGTGATGTGATAAAAATACACCAAGTAGTCCATAAAGAAGAATCGTTCGATCACAATGAATAATTGTTCTATCAATATTCATTTTAGCAAATCTAATAACAGTAAAAACATAATTGCATTAATTGAAATTTTAATGGTAACCATTGATAACCTAAAATTTTCTGTTTCTCCTCCGATGGTTATTTCATGAATAAGAATTCTAATTCAATGGTTATCTGTGCCATGATCGGACACTATCCATTTCTGTTACCATTCACGTGATAGCTAAGCACAGAGACAATAAATTTCAAGTTTATAGTAAAATAAAGTTCGTATATGCAAAATTTCACGTGTCACTCTTCTTATGATAATGAAAAAAAAACAAGATGAAAAGAATTGTATTTTTTGGCATAGAGATATCAGATATCGATTTAGGAAGATTATAAGTTTAAATCATTTTAGAGTTTTCTTCGTCTCCTAAAAATCTGCTCATAAACAAGCTGTAAAATCGAACAGCATTCGACAATTAGAATATTTTCTCATCATTGTTTTATAGAGCAAGATTCTTTGTCAACAATAAATTTATTAATCCTTTTTTTTCAGCACACGTCAAAATAAAAGAGACTAAAAAAACATTTAGTTTCTACGTAGATTATAATATCCATTTCTATGCTTTCTTCATCCTAATTTCGATGTCAATCGAGCTAATCTCTCAGGACTTTTGTGGGTACATCAAATTAAACATCGATAGACAATATAAGTTTTGAACTTAGTATAACGATTATTCTTATATGGATTTATTGCGTTCTTTGATTAAACATTCATCTGAGAAGATTAGTTGATTAGAATCTCGAACAAAACTAAATCGATTATTCATTTGTCAAAAACAATTCAAGTTTTGAAAGAAAATTCCTGAATGAGAAATTAGTTTGATAATAAAAGTCATGATCAGATATCTAACTTTTAAATAAATATAACAATTTTCACAATGAATACAGATGAATTCATTTCAAAGGTTTCTTATAAAAAAAAAAAAGTAATCAGAAGACAAGAAGAATGTTCAAACAATTGATCAAATGATTTTTCATCGTTCATTTTCGATTGTTTTTTTAAATGATACACTTTTTATCTTGTTATTAAAAAGAAAAATCTAATTAAAAATAAATTTAATTTATAAGAAATTTTTAATCGATTTTGTCTATAAATCCAAAATATGAATGAAAAAGAAAACTGATAAAAAAAGAAAATAATTTGATTTTGATGAAAGCTTTTCATTAATTTGTCAATATTCGATGAACAGGAATGAATAAGTATTGAAATGTCTAACTTAATAGAATATTTTCGTCAGTGATCAAAGAAAAAGTGATAATCATTGACAAATCCTTTTATGATAAATATATTATAACATAGATTAACTCATCTCTATTTCTTTATTCATTTATTTATTTATTCAGTAAAACAAAACAAGAAAACTATCAAATGAAATTGACTTTAACAAAAAAAAAAAAAAAAAAACGATTAAAAAGAATGATTTGATCGTGAAAATGTCAAATGTTTTGAACAAGATTGAAATAATTTTAAATAAGCATGTCGATATTTTATTTGTATAAATGGATAAAGAAATGGATTACATGTTGAATTTAACCATAAAAGCCAAAATGATATGTCCAATATAATTTTAGATATATTTACACCAGCTGTTGAAGTTATTGCACAAATAACATATGGAAATAAAAATATAAGAAAAACAAAAACAAGAATAAATAATGAACGTGCTACTTTACGATCTCGAACAATTTTTGAATCACATCGATGATATTTTTTAAATTTATTATTATTTGGTGGACTTAATTGATTTTTTATCGGTCTTGATACTTCAGTTTCACTTTCAATTCGAGATTCAAAAAATGAATCCCTACGATAATTATGTGAATGAGAAAAATTAGCATTTGCACATTTTCTTGATGAATATACCATTGGTGATGATTCACAAGTTTCTATTAAATCATTTTTATTTCTATAATGACAATAATTTACAGATGAATTTTTACTAGAATCAAAATCGATAAAGAAAAATGAAACAATAAACATACATAGTAGAAGATTTTTTTTGAATAATTGGTGATAAATATGTAATTGTATGATGACGATTGTTTGATGATTGATTATTTTGATTAAATAAATCCGGAAGATTTTTATTTGGAGAAGATAATTGAATAAAAATAAATTGATCAATATTTTCATTTTCTTCTTTAACTATTCTTGATGGACAACGTTCAATTGAATTTATTTTATTTTTAGATAATATTGACAAATGTTGATCATCTTCCGTATCTTTACTTATTACTAATGGTGATGAACCAATATTTTGTTCTTTACTTTTTATAGATTGACTAAATGACATACGATGATTCATTTTTCGACTTCGTTTCCATATATTTAACATTATTAACATATTAAGAACACATAAAACAATAAATGGCCAAATAAAATAATTAAATTGTGCTATTAACATATATATAAATGAATGATTATAATCACCTGAACAATCATTATGTGTTATATTATTACGATTATTATTAAATAAACTTATTAACCAAATACCCGGAGCAAAATTAACTAAAAAAAAAAAAAAAACAATGAATTTTTTTATTAATTTTCTTCTAATACAAAATTCTTACTAAAAGAAAGACACCATACAGCGCCCATGACTACATAAACAAAATGTTGTTTCACATATTTTCGATAGGATATAGGATAGGCTATAGACCAATAACGATTAATAGTAATCGCAACTATATTAATAACACTAGCCATTGTTGCAACATCATCAATTGTAACCTATTTACATATTCATTATTTATTAATAAGTTAATTAATCAAATAAAAAGCTTCACCCATATTTTACAAAAAAGCCGCCCAAATGGCCATGATTGTGTTATACTAAATAATGAGAATATATTTGATATGCAAAAACAACACAAAAGTTAACCTGAATGGAATATAAAATGGAATACAGAAAAAACCAACAAGAAAATCGGCTATTGCCATATTTAATATAAAAAAATCTTTTAAAAAATTAAAAAAAAGAAATAATTTAGTTTGAATGTGGAATATGAGATGTGGATGTTGATCATCTCTCTTCATCCCTATCCACACTCACATTCAAAATAAATGATTACCATTAATTGTTCGTAATTTCTTGTCACAATAAAAAGCTAAAAGTACAATTATATTTCCAAATGCAGTTATGAATGCAATAAGACTAAGACAAAGTCCAATCGAAATCGAAATAATGATTGATGATGAATTCGATGTATTTGTTATTGTCATTGTTAACGATATTTTGAAAAGAATAACTGCCTTTGGAAATATTTCTATCTCATATTTTCTTCGTTTTTTTTTTTCTTCTAAAAAAAGATAAATCCTTATTAACGATCAATCATTAAATGGAAAAACTTTGTTAGAAGACAAATTCAATTTGTCGTCAGACGTATAAAATAAGAAATGAATGATGAGAAAATCAACATCATTTTCTTCCAGACATATTCTTTTTTTTTTACAAACAGAAATAAACTTGATTTTATGACTAATTTAAATTTTACTATAATTAATATGAGTTGTATTTTATAAGATAATACACTTACCTTTCATATTAATATATTCATCATCTCAATAAACTTCCGATTAGAAGTTTAATATCTTTATTTATCTTACATTGTTTATTTTATAGAACATTATTACTCTATACGAAATAGAATACTTAAATATGTAAAATAATTTAGAAAAATTGAATATGGTAAGTTGATTAATAATCAAACAGTCACACTCTGACAAGTATGATTTTTTCATTTTTTTTACTCGTCAGAATAGGCAACTGATGTAACGAGCGTTTTTCAAAGAAAATAATTCTTCTATATTCTCTTTCAATTTAATCGAGTGTAAAAATAAGGTGATTTATCGAACACTAAGTGCACTCTATTTGAAACTCAAGTTATATTAGAAAACTGACTCTTTTTTGTTTTTTACTATTAATAGTCTCTATGTGCTAACTACATCTTTCTATTCTTATGAGTCTATTATTCTATTATAAAGCGGTTCGGCTATTTATTTGCTTTATATAGATAGATACATTGCTATGAGTAAAACAAAAAATATAGAAGAAGGAAAATGTTCGGTTCTTTCTTTCTTTCTCTTTTTTTTTTCTATTAACCAATAGATGTCATTCATCAACTAACGATCAAAAAAAGTTCATCGATAACATTTATACAAATATTTCTAAAAATCATTTTTTTTTCCAAAAATTAAAAAAATTTATTGGATTAAAATAATCGAGATATTTTAAGATTTGATTTACCGATAGTTGATTTTCCTGATATTTAAGCTTTCCGATAGTTGACCTTCTCGATATTAAAGTTTCGCGATAGTTGAGCTTCCTGACATTTGAGCTTCAATAGATTATTAAGGTCAGAAATTATGATATTTATGAACTTTATATAAAAAAAAAAACCTAGAAATTAAATAAACCTCTGGTTCTCTTGAAATACTTTTGTCTTGTACACGTACGAAAATTACTAATTAAGTATTGTAAGTGTTTCTCCATTTTTTTATATAAGGGACGTTTAATTAATTTTACAATTCGAAAATTTGCTTTGGGTGTGGGTGTTAGTTGTGTCTTAACCTATACCCATCGATACTCTCATAGTTATTTTTTTTTTTTTGAGTTTCGAAACTCATTTTTTTCTCTATTTGTGTCATTCATGACTCAAGAATGTTTCACCATATTCAGAGAACAGAATCGACAATGTGACTATAAAAAAGAGAAACAGAATAGTGAGTCATCGACGACTAGAAGACCATCACCATGCAATTATTGCCATTTATTAAAGTATAAGAAGCTGAATAATATGAATGAAAGAGCATACTTACCTACCACAGGATCTTTCTTGATCAAAAAGAAGGAAGCCTCTGATCGAGACTCTATTCGTGCACATGAACAGAGTTGACATCAGCGAAAGACACATTGTCTTCTCGAGTGGATGATTTTTCACAGTGGATCGAGCGTTCGCGCTTAATCCCTCCATCAAAATCATATGATAAAATCCTATCGATGGATTCAAAATCATCTACTCAAGGCACTAGCTGAAACGCAAATCTTATCTAGAACCTATCTCATCTGCTCTCTCTCGTGTATGAGACCGACTATACCAGTATTCATTCATTTATCATCATCAGAAAAACAAAGAGAATGTTGTCGCATGTGATAAAACTGTTCAAAACTTGCTCAAGAGTAAAAATAACAAGTTCGATTCGAAAATCTTTGACATGTGATAGTGATAGAAATAGGAATGTTTGACAATAAATTTCGACAATACCTTGCGATAGTGCTTGATTTTGCATATCTCGTCGTTTGCTTAATGCCTCACGTTTTAATGATGGATAGTATCCGACTCTACTGTCTAATCGAATGAACAGAATCATGTATCGATCGAAGATGATCAAACAGATTAGTTGAACTACTTCGATGAGCATTCTCAATCTCTATAGATCGATCTATTTTCTTCGTCTTATTCGTCACTGATGTCGATGCAATGATTACAATTTTGGCATTCATAGTTTATTACTTAACATAAAGTATTCAAGTTATCTGAAACAAAACATTAAGAGCCGAATCGATTTCAACTTAATGGAGTATTTCAATTAGTTCCTGATAATGACATTCTGGTTGTCGAGAACATTTATAAGAGATTTTCATCTTAACGTATTTGTTTGATAACTCGAATGACTCAGTCAAACTGTTTTTTGCTCAGTTATGTACATATAAGATTGGTTCCAAACTGATGTTGATCGTGTTCACGAGTACAAATCAATATTTTATCTGTTGATCATCTCCAAATTTCAGAATCGAATCAAATAGAGTTCGTATTCGACTGATTGTCTGAAGTAAAAGCAAGAAGAATTTCTTACTGATAGAATCTTATAGAGGTCTTTCAATTATTCCAATATAAACTGAGATGATAACCACCGAAAATTCTCAATCAACGATTGTCCATTGTTTTGTATACTTTTTTTATGAAAGCAAAATATGCAAAGAAATTGTTTTCAATATTCAGTGTCCATCAACGACAAAGAATTACAAAGAAAACGGTCGATTATGCAAAAAAATATTTCGAAGTTGACTATACACATAGATGCAGAACAAGAACATTTTCGAATGAAAAAATCGTTTAGCTGATGTAAACAATTTAAATGTTTCCATCAATGAGTTCAGCGTTATTGGCTTATCAAAGAAGATTCTTCCATTCTTTATGATTTCTTTGGAGCCAAACATTTTCTGACACTGGAATTTTTTGTTAGCAAGATGATCAATAATGAATAAATGTGTGAATCGAATATGAAAAAGAATAAATACTCGAAAAATCTCAAAATTGACATTTGCTTGAATTTCAATTCTTGAATGATTCGCATATAAAACTTCGTTCTTCTTTCAACTGGTTATCAAATCGCTTCTTCTATACACGCTATACAATTACAATAAGATTATCTATCAATCGATTACTAAGGTATAATGATCTTGTAATGGTTGTTTTTGGTTGATTTCTTAAGCTCATGCAAAAAGAATCGTAGATATAAAATATAAAAGTGATGAACAGTAAAAAGATACATTTTTTTCCATCTAGACATGCACCAAATCCAGGTCCAATCAAACCCAAATCCAATTTTTTGTTTGGATTTGACTAGATTTGGATTTGTGTTTGACTGGATTTGACTTGGATTTGGATTTGGATTCGACTGGGTTTGACTTGGATTTGGGTTTGGGTTTGACTGAATTTGGATTTCACTGGATTTGGGTTTGACTTGGATTTGACTATGTATACCTCCTACAAAG